ACCCTATATCCCCGAGAGCCTCCGCAGACAAGCATTCGACATAGTGCACGCCCCAGCACATACCAGCAGCCGAGTGACAATACGCCAAATTAAAGAAAAATTCGATACAGCACTCTGGTTTCGTCAATGCATTCCCTGCCAAAGAAGCAAGATCCAGCGACACAACCGTCTCGAGCCTGTTCACATCAGCGTCCCGGACAATCGCTTTGAGCATGTCCACCTGGACATCATCGAGCTTCCCATCGTGAAAGGCGTGCGTTACTGTTTGGCGATGATCGACAGATTCACCCGTTGGCCTGTTTCCGTCCACCTCAGCAACATCGAGGCAGACACTATCACCACTGCCTTCTGGACCCACTGGATCGCTCATTTTGGTACGCCACTCCAGATCACCACGGACCAAGGCTCACAATTTGAGCCCAGACTTTTCTCAGCACTCGCCAGGATGGTTGGAGCCAATAAAATCCATACGACTCCTTACCACCCCCAGGCCAATGGCTTGGTAGAGCGCTGGCATCGTACTCTGAAAACTGCTCTCATGTGCAATGCGCCAGCACCTTGGCCAGAGCTCCTGCCATCAGTCATGTTGGGGCTGAGAACCGCCTACAAGGAAGACCTGAGAGCTTCACCAGCACAGCTCCTGTATGGGACAGAGCTGCGAATCCCTGGTGAATTCTTCATCTCTGAGAGCCTACCAGCAGACCCGAACGCCTTCCTGGAGAAATTCAGAGACCATATGAGACGAGTCAGACCCACCGCCACTGCCCATCACACCAAAGCACGATTCTTCGTCCGGAAAGACCTGTACCAGTGCAGCCACGTGTTCGTCAGAGTCGATGCAGTAAAAAAACCACTCGATCCACCGTATACCGGACCACACGAGATCGTCAACCGAGTCGATGACAGAGTTTTCGTCGTCAGGATTCACGGAACCGACAAAGCCATCTCCGTTGACAGGCTCAAGCCAGCCTTCGCCACCAAAACCGACTCAGACCAACCAGCGGACCAATCAACCCAGCAATAACCACCCCCCCAGCAACAAGCATCCACCCAACAACACCCAGCAACCCAGCAAACGCAATCTAGTTCTTCAGCGAATATACCTGAGGAACATCGTTCCCTGGACATAGATCCACCTGTGAGGACCTACGCCAGGGTGGTCAAAACCCCCAAAAAGGTTTCATTCCCTTCCATACCTGATCAGGTATGGAGGGGAATGGATGTGGCGGTTCAGCCCTCAGCAGTTCCCGAGGTTACCGGCCGAACCTGCCACCAACGCCGACGACGGAAGCAACAGCTAGTTCGCAGAGAGGACTCGCAAAGCCCGCCATTATTACTACTCTCTCACCGCTACTTATCACACACACTCTCGTTGACCCACCACAGCTGTGGCGTCGTATATTTTTGTATTACCCCAGTATTCCCATAAATATTTGTAAGTGTTTATTATAAACATTGTCGTGTTCTCTGTACGTGAGATCCCCATTCATCTCCATAAGTGTACACATCCTACGTGACTGTCCGGCTCTAGCAACGACGAGACTGCGCTGGTGGGGAACTACCTTCTCCACTGCAAATCAAGTTGCGAACAAGGATGCAACGGATCTGTTAAGACTAGCAACAAAGACCGGCTGGACATATAATTCGCGCATATAACAAGCGGAGCTATAATGACTTTAATCTGATTTCGGTGGCATTGGAGAGGCTAGTCCGACCATCCGCATACTGTGACCTTGGCCGGGGAATTAAAATATATTAATTCTCGGAGAAGGTACGATATAACCGGCAAAATCAAATTAGGGGCAAAATCCAGTAATGTAAATAATTCAAGGGGAACCTGAAATAATAAGAGGGAGCCCCCTCCCTCTTATTATTTCAATAATCTCAATAATTACTCAGGCAGGGTCTCAATAATTACACAGAGGGATTTAGGTAGATTGATTTTTAATATATTCTAGTATCCATAATACACAGATGTTAATACAAAAAATAATCCAGGCCTTTTGACTAATTAACTCGAGGGTGGGGGTTAAGGCCAGCTCACTTGCGGCTACGTGAAATAGTATAACATAAAAAAAATAAAGGGGGAGAAGTTAATGGTGCAAGGGGGGAGAAGTTAGGGGACCGATCTTCTAAATTCTTACAAACTAGGGGGGGGGGTTCGCGGAGAATAATTATTACAGCAAATAAGATAATGGATAGAGTGATTGTTCAGAGGCTCACCGCTGGGGGGAAATGATTATAAAAAAGGGAAATTCGGTGGGGCAGGGGATAAATGTAAGGGTACTCACAATGTTGGCGGCCAATACTCGACCAATAATCCGCAACTCTTTGCTTCTGGACTTTTCCTCCTTCCTTCCTTCTCCAGACTTTTCCACTCCTGGTTCTCCACACTTGTCAAAGTCTCCAACACAAAGTCTCTACGTAATCTCTTCACAATGAAATTCTCCTCCGAACAATCTCTTTTCCAAAAACACTACTGGTCACGGGGCAGCTGTATCACAAGTGATGACTGCCAGTTATTTTCACACTTTCTTCCCCGATTATCGGTCATAATCGGGGTTAATCGGGGGCACTCGTCATCGAGTGTCCTTTTCTTCTTAATTATTCCTTGAGGGTCAGTTGAGGGATGTCTCTTTCTTTTCCGGGTCACGTGGTGTCCAGTCTCTTCGTGGGGGGTTTTCTCCTTTTCGCCAGTCTGCGATGGCGGGTGGGGGGTTTTCTTCTTCATCATTGTCGTCCTTTTCCACGGTTGATGTGAGTACCGGGGCGAGGGGAAATGGAGTCGGGGAAAGGAGTATCTCGAGAATGGGTTGTCCAACGGTGGCAAAAAAGAGTAACTAAAATCTAACTTAGCATAGGAAAAATAATAAGTATTAATTAGGGGGGCATGGGGGGGGGGGGGGCAAAATTCTGCCTCATCACAATACTTAAGATCTAATCTAATCTAAAATCTAAAGGGAAGACCTGAAACAATAAGAGAGGAGGGGGTTTTAAAGGATTACTCAAGGGATCTCTGTAGAGTAAAATTTAATATATTCGAGTCGCATTACCAAATATTAATACCAGATAAATTCAGGCCTCTCAACTACTAACTTGAGAGGTAGGTGAGGCCAATCAACTTGCAACAACGCGGAACATATTAAGGTTGTCGTATCGCGATCGTCTCTGCAAAATGTTTATCTGCTGCAAAACGGGCCAGTTTAGAACACAATATTTTTACGGTACATAGTCGCACTTGATTAATCAATTCTATGGATAGCTAAGACGTAACTGTATATTCTCCATATTAACTATTTTCAATTATATACATTTATGGATTTTCGATAATTATATCATGTAAACCAAATGGTCAATCGATGTGATTTTTTTTCGGTATTCTCTCCCACGATATATATTCTTGAACTAATATCGTCTATCGCTAGGTCTACCGATTTTGTGTCCTTCGCTGCAACGCAGTATGATTGGATCGATGTGTGAGTGACATCCAAATACCATAGAGGACGTAAGATATCCCCATGGAAAGTCTCTCTTTTATATTGCACCTGAAATTTTCTCTCACTTGATGTGATGGTGAGGTGCGTTTTCCAGAGTGACGCAAGGTCTTTGACACACCTATGTTGTCCTCGACCGCGGTGCAATCCGATAGCAGAAAGATGAGCTCATGGCTCATGGAGATGTGTACGGGGCGTGTAGATAATGTAGCGACAGCCACAGTAGCAAAATTTTCTTAATTCGAGAAATGTGCTCATTTTGTCTGATCGCGATTATTTTTGTGAGATGAGTGAGATTGGTATTTTAGCGTTGACTATGCTTCGAAGTTAGACTTCTCTAAGGCCTAGACCAGGGATGGGCAACCTCTGCTCTGAGAGCAAGTCGTGCTCCCGACCTCTATTAGTACATAACAAAGGGTAGACGAAAGCCCATTGTCTCGGGTAATGGGCCTTCATGGCCCAGGTGGTAAAGGCCCTTCTCCTCAGCTGAAATCAACCGAAGTAGGAGTAACACTTAAGAAAAGGAAAAGGGGAGAAATGTCGCCGAAGAAAAGGAAAAGCGCAGAAATGCGTCCAAAAAGGAAAATGTGAAATTTTTTTCACCGTGACATTTTTATTTATTTTGAAAGAAGACGTTATGAATAAAATGTAAAAACCGCCTGTTTAATTTCAGAGGCAAAGGACAAATTCCACAATGTCATGTTGCAGTGGTCCCGCAATTATTTATTCAAGAAATTAAATTGATTGGAGTAAAAAATGGTAATTGAAGAACATTTGAAAAAAAAATATTATTATCAAAAAATGTTCATTTTTTTAATTCAGAATTCACGTCAGTCGGTAAAAACTGCAATGTTTGGTAGTTCTTCTTTGACAGATTTTTCGGTAAGGTCGTTATTGGACCAAAAATTAAAAAGTAAGTGAAAAGATGTCAACAATTCGGGAAGCTGAATTTTAAGAGTAATTTCATGTTTCATTCAATGAATAATAGTTATTTTCATATTTAGAAAAGTTGTTTGCCATGTGTGGATTTTTAAATTTCACTTTATATTAATCGCAGCGGCCATTTTCCCCAGTTTATCATGTGACAGAGGCGCAATGGGATGCTCCCCAGTACAGGGACTGTAAGATCCCTCACTAACTCAAGTTTATGACGCTGCTCCGAGCTACCTGGAAGTTGCCCATCCCTGGCCTAGACAATTAGACACCCGACATTTAATACTTATACTATGTGTGTGCCCCTACAGCCGTTAAAAATCAAAATAATATTACGTGTATGCATTACATTATTTTAAAATGGAGGGTTATATGAATCCATTTTAATGTAGCGATTCCTGAAATGCAGATTGCCATTATGTTGATGTTGGTTTACGTACCTACCACAGCGACGTCCAGCGTCGCGCGCTGTGAGTCATGACATATTTCATGGAATATTTTTTTATAAAATATGTTTATTATCAAAAGTCTCGGGTGAACAATGCTGAATACGAAGAGTGTCACAGAAATAATATGAACAAGTGGGTCTTTCAACTAGTTTTTCTGTTTCAGGCTAATTTAGCTGTTCAGCAGAGTAAGTACGATAAAGCGAATCAAAATTTGAGAGAAGCCGAAGGGATTTTAAAGCAAAAGGATGAAGATTTACGAATCGTGCAGAATGAATTCGATGCTGTTATAGCAGAACGTCAAGTAAATTGACTGGCTCTTTGAGGTCGATCATTAAATGAAATCTTACATACAATTTTAGGAGATTGTTGATCTTGCTGATGCTTGTCAAGCAAAAATGGATACTGCCAGTGCTTTGATTGGTGGCCTGTCTGGTGAACGAATTCGGTGGACTAATCAACTGACCCTATTCCGTTCCGAAATCGAGCGTCTTACTGGAGACGCCGTCATTCTGACGGCATTTCTATTCTACTGCGGACCTTTCAATCAAGAGTTTCGCTCACTGCTTCAAAAACACTGGATTAATTTTATCCAAGGAAGAAAGATAGCTTTTTCAGTCGATGTAAATGTCACCGATGCTTTATCAGATGTAGCAACAGTATGTAATAAAATTACTCACTTTCATCTTAGCTGATAATCAACTGATATTCATCCCACAAAATCGTCAAAAATTTCAATTGATTTTCAATTAAATTCAAAACAAATGTGGAACAGCACTTGTATTCAGTATTTTATAAGTGCGATTCAGCAAATTACTTTTGCACAATAACTCAATTGATTCATGTCACACATAGATCAACGAATGGAATCTGCAAGGTCTGCCTAACGATGAATTATCGACGCAGAATGCTATTATCGTAACTAATGCGTCCAGATATCCACTTCTAATAGATCCTCAACTGCAAGGAAAAACGTGGATAAAAAACAAGGAAAGTGAATGCGGATTACAGGTATAAATGATTATTTTTATATCTCTTCACTTCTTCATTATTCTGTTTTTGACAGATTACCAATCTCAGTCATAAGTATTTTCGGAATCATTTAGAAGACTGTGTATCTCTTGGGAATCCCTTATTAATTGAAGATGTAATGGAAGAGTTGGACCCCATTCTGGATAATTTATTAGACAAAAATTTTTTAAAGATGGGGACTTCCTTAAAAGTCATATTAGGTGATAAAGAAGTGGATATGAATAAAGACTTCCGAATGTATATCACAACGAAATTTCCGAATCCTTCTTATACACCAGAAATCTTTGCGCGGACTTCAATCATAGATTTTTCAGTTACAATGAAAGGTATTTATTTTAAATCATGTCGATCGCATAAGATTTTAAATGGTATGAACAATTTTATGGAAGGTAAGTTGGAATAGTATTCTCATGATAAAGAAACATTATTCTAATGCGTGCGGGAATGTCGGTGGTAGATGAATGCTTTGCACTAAAATTGTCGATTCATGAGCTTTACGGTATGTCTCTCGTAGAAATCTGATTGAATTCATTATTAATTTGATAGATAAAAACATATGAAACCATGAAATTAGTACGAAGAATTATTTCCTGAATTTTATCGGATTTTTTCAACAAATATTTGATGCCATCTGAAGTTGACAAAATGACACGATATCACGACTAAGGCTTTCATATGGCGGGAAAAATGCATGTATCGACAATTAAATAACAGCGTCATATAGTTGCAAAATATCATGATGTCCCGGACTAAAGTGATGTATCTTAAAATTTTTCAAACAAACAAATATCACGCAAATTTATATTCATCTATTTCAAACTGAAAAGTTTCCATATCATAAAAACATAAAAAATATAAATTATTTAGCACATACGCTATTATAGCTTCTAAATTCAATAAATCAGCGTGTTTACAGAATAATTCCTCAAAATTTTGCCTAATTAAAGATAAGCTCTAATTGTGATAATGATATGAACAGTGATCTCCATTCTATTAAATATACAATTCTTAGGCATAATCTTATAATTTCCTCAACACGTTTAGTTCATCTTCCCTCGTAACCTAGGGGTTGTAGTATTCAACGACTTCTTTTCTTTTTTTTTAATTGACGAAAAAATTAGGGTTATCGCGGATTGGGAATTTAGCCGATAAAACGCATCGATTTCGTCAGGATATTTATCCTTTCAAATGAGCCACCGTATCGGAAATCAAAACAAACATATTCAAATCAATCATTTACGATACAAATAATTTTTAGTATCAATTTACAAGCCCCATGGCATACTTTTTGGTTCAGATTGTGAAGAAATATGGAATATATTTATAAATATTGACGTATGGCTAACTACGGTGGTAACGCTCCAGTTTTGACAGTGCAACATCGCATTAAGCGAGGCGGGGAGAAGTTTTCGACCTCTGTTTATATATATGTGTGGCTTAACCTCACACGTGAAGTGTCAAAATGAGTGAAAATTACAGTTTATCAGATTTCCGCGATAAGAAGGGAAAATTCAGCACTTTAAATCGCAAACAATGAGAACAGAAAGTCGTTGAAAGTACCGTACCATTACTGTTGCATTGTTATCTACCTTGTCGACATTGCTCAGCTATAGAAGCAACGTTGTGAATATTTTAGAATCATAATGGCGACCACCTTTTTCAGATCTTTTCAAAAATCAATCACAAATTTTTCGCCTATTATGCCCGGTACTATAATTTTTGTTGCCGATGATAGTATCTATATATTCCTAAGAATATCACAATCGGGCTTTCTGCAAAAGTCTGAGTATTAAACTACACGTTACTTTGATCGAACTACGAGCCATCTCAATTCTCCCAT